ATATCAGTCAGCGGTTGTCTCAAGGAGAGAGTCAAACCAGAATCAGAGGCCGAGAAGGCTTGCTTTCAGCTTATTAATGACCTGGACTGTGTAGGCAGACATGTTGAAGGCTCACTGGCTAGCAAAAAGCACATGCGCAATGAAATATGGTTGCTCATCTCCTACATGGGTTGTCCATCCTGGTTCATTACTCTGTCTCCAGCTGACAATAAGCATCCGATATGCTTGTATTTTGCAGACTGTAATATTGAATTCAAGCCAGAAATTCCCTTGCCTGATGATGCATACCGCCTCATTGCTAGCAACCCAGTTGCAGCTGCACGCTTCTTTCATTTCATGTGCAAGAATTTTATCAAGCATGTTCTGGGAGTCAGTACAAGACATCCTGGACTGTATGGAAAAACCAATGGCTACTATGGAACTGTCAAACAGCAGGGACACCTTACTCTGCATCTTCATCTCCTTCTCTGGATCAAAGATTCTTTGTCACCTCAGGAGATTCATAAACATATTATGGATAATACCTCTGACTTTCAAACAAGAATGGTTCAATATCTTGAAAGCGTACACAAGGGAGAAATGCATTCAGGCACTCTAGATGAAGTATGATCTTGTGTCAAGGAGAATTCAAAGAATTCAGACTACTCCAATCCTACTAAGACTATGCCTGAAGCACCACCTGCTTTGTGCAAGCATGAAAAGCCAACCAATACAGATAACATCTGCACCAACTGTACAGCTTCTGAATTATGGTGGAAGAAATTCAATGAGACAACTGATGACATTCTCTCCCATTCCAACTATCATGACTGTCGCCAAACATCTGAAGACGGCAGTGGGTGCACAATCAGAAAGGGATGTCTTAATAAATGTGGTCAATGTCGTTCCTTGAGATGTCATTCCAGAGACTATGGTTGATCCATTGAGTGGAGCACTGAAGATGAAAAAGGGTGAAGCATGGATGAATACTTTCACTCCTATCCTTAGCTTTTTCTACCGATGAAGTCTCCTATCTGGAACAGCTGTTAAAGCAATTGTTGCCTATGTAACAGACTATGTAACAAAACCTGGACTGACAACTTATTCTGTATTTGATACGGTGCATCAAATCTACACTTGTAATAGTGAGCTTATTGGTGGCTCACTGGACTGCCGAGAAATAGCAAGATCACTCATGACAAAGATGGTGAATCATTTAACAGCAAAAATGGAGATAGGAAGTCCTATGGCTTCTCTGTACCTGCTTTGAAATCCTGATCACTATACTCAGCACAAATTTGAGAATGTCTACTGGAAGGCTTATGTTCGAGAGGCGCAAAAGATATGGGAAGCAGAAGCAGAAGATGAGAAACAGGAGCGGGTCATCCTCAATAAAAACTTGGGCAAATATGTAGGTCTCTCCAAAGTCCAAGACTATATCTATCAGCCTACACAATACCAAGATATCAGCCTATATGAGTGGATTCGACATGTCAAAAAGTCAAAGAGAACAC